ATCAATAACCACTGTCTCCTAGTGAACAAGAACTAGAAGAGTCTGTGAATTTAAAACTCAGGAAAGGGTAAGAATCTTAATTTTTATGGGCGAGGGCTGCTGTTAAAGGTAAAAGTAGTATGAACTCATAAAATAGATATTTAAAAAAATAGAAGGAGAAACTAATAAAAACATACTTATTGGAAATGTTAAGCTCAGTCTGATATAAATAAATGACACAGTCTAGGATTGTAACCTAGATGCTGCTACTGAAAACCTACCAAAAAAACCCAAAAACCAAAAACCAAACAAAAAGCAACAAAAGAAAAAGTTTAATATACACTATCTCATTGAGTATACACAGTACTCTTGAAAATAGGTAAGACAGTTAAGACACAATGTATTTTATTTTTTAGCACCAGAGAACATGTGTTTAACACATGAGGGGACATGTCAGAGAGATTAAGTAACTTGCCCAGGGTCACACAGCAGGTGATACATTCTCAGACTTAAGCCTTCATTAATGTTCTTTTTACAAACCAAAGGAAAACAAATAAACCAACTTTAATTCCTTCCTGGGGGCAGAAAAGAAGCTCTGATCAACTTGTGACATTGTATCTTAAGCTGGTCACATTTTCAGGTTTTGCCTGTGCTCACACAGACAGAGGAGAATGTTACAGTAACAGAAACATTTAGAAAAGGTGTGTGTAAGTTATTATTATTATTTTTAATGTAGGCCATCCACTGTGGTAGGAATTCTTTCATTCCAAATGTAAGGTGACAGTTAATTTATTCCCTGAAAACGTTTCTCAGGGGAAGAATAACAAGTTACTCAAAGCCCTGAAAGGTAAAATATTGGAGCTCTTCCTTTATTTCTCCCTTCTAATGTCATAGAAAAAAGATGTTTGGGTAGGGGAGAGAGAGAGAGAGAGAGAGAGAGAGAGAGAGAGAGAGAGAGNAGAGAGAGAGAGAGAGAGAGAGAGAGGGAGAGAGAGAGAAGGAGGGAGGGAGGGAGGGAGGGAGGGAGAGAGAATTTAAAGAAGAAACATTGTTAGACAAGAAGACATAGACCCACATTTTCATAAAAAGCAAATATATGTGTAAATATCTGTAGTTAATTGAAACAGTTTTTGTTTTATTGAGTAGGGCTGGGCAGGGTGGGGTTTGGTAGATTTATGTTAAGTCAGAGTTTCAAACTCACAGATTTTCTAATGAAACCAAAACTCAGAATGAAACTTTATACACACAATCTGGAATGAGTAAAATTTTTGCCCTAAACAATTTCATGAAAAGACAAGTTTTATATAACTTTAGCAAATGACAGTGCTCTCCAACATGGCTGCTTGCCAAGCAATAACACTTTATTATATCGCCTATGTTTTTAGAGAAAAAGTTTACATAGATAAATTTATTGTAGAATTGTTAATTCTTGGTGACAACATTTATTTTACTTGGTACCTTACACTTTTACATTTAAATTTTTAGAGACTTCATGCATGGCAGCCTCTATGGAGGGTGTGGACTTTGGTAGTAATGTATAAAATTCAAAAGCATAGTTTTGGTGACAAGAGAAATAATTATAGGCCCACTCTTTAGTTGGGATCTTTTGAGTGCTTTGCTCATAAAAATGTTGTACTATGAATTCAGAGGTTGGGGAGAAGCTCACCAAAGGATTTGAGAGAAATGAAAACTTACCTAGTCAGGATACCTTCTCAGAAATGTTTTTCAAAGAACTTTAGAAATGAAAGCTGGTTAGTCTCATTTTCCATTGCATAAATGGTAATTCAAGTCTGAATTTCTAATTTATCATAGTTTATGGTGGTGCTTCAGAGACACAAATGTGTCATTTGTGTTTTAGCTTTCACATTCTTTAGAGGCAGTTTAATCAGTGCATGACCATAACTAAACCAAGTCAAACGGTGACATCATGGGGGTTTGCTCAGGAAGTCCTCAATACACAGAATGATCAGAAGTGGATGGAAATATGGTCATAGAACATCCCTCAAAAGAGTGTTATAATAATGACACATCTCCTCATTCTTTTTTTCGCATTAGCGGTGGCATTTCCCATGCTCTGCTCTCTCTGCCTTATTCTATGTTCAAATTAAACATTGTTGTGATAGCTCACTGCATTATTCTCACATAATATTCTTATTTATTCCCTTATTCAGTGAGATAATAGTGAACAAGGTGTGTCTCCTGCCCTTACAGAACTTAGAGTCAAATGGGGAATAAAACATGTAAATGACAAATTACAAATCCTTGTGAGATGTGTGAAGAAAAGTGTGTTAGGCACAATAGGAAGGGTGCTTAACTCCTAGTTGCCAGTTCAGAAAAAAACTTCCCATGAAAGTAACATTTAAGCTGCAATCTTAAGGATGAATAGGAATTATTCAGACCAAATAGACAGAGAAGAGTACTAGGCGGAGATAGTATATGAAGAACAGGAGCACAACTGCGTGTGACATGCTTGAAGAAATAAAACACGCTCCGAGTGACGCTCAGAGGGAGAGTGAGAATGCTCAGGTTGCAGCAGCGTGCGGGGCCCAGGTCAGGAGGGTTAGTGTAAATCATAGCAAGGGGTTTGGATCGGGGCCAAGTGCAATGGGAAATCAATAATGGGCTTTAAAAGGGAAGAAAATGGTCAGATTTGGACTTTGGAAATATCTCTGTGGTTGTAGTGCCGAGAATGGATTGAGAGAACATAATAGCAGAGGATAGGACACCAGTGAGGAACAGGGGATGTCACTTAGGAAAGATTAGTGTGTCTGGATTAGAGACTAGGCAATAGGAAGGAGGAAAATGGAGGGGTCCATAGTTTCACAGAGTTGAAGAAATGGAGCCTAGGAACTGCTTGGATTGCAAGGATGGAGCAGAGGTAGGGCTCAAGGATGTCACCCAGGTTTCCGACCTGGCCAACGAGATGGCTGGTGGTGACTTTCACTGCAGATGGAAATAACAGGAAGAGAGGCAGACCTGGAAATAGGAGTTTGGGAGTTGTGGGAAGAAAATAACCATCAGTGAGGAAAAAGTGAAGTCTGAGACACTGGGAGGCCATTGATGTGGAGGTGCGCAGCCAGCAGTTGGACATCTGAGCCTGAGACCTAACCAAGAGTTTCAGACTGGAGTTATAAACTTGTGAGTTACCTGCATAAAGATGGCAGATGAGGAAGATAACTTGAGGCTCTGAGTGAGAAGAAAAGGGGAGCTCAGGGAGAGAAACAGCGGAGGACCACCCTTGAGGTTTGAGAGAAAGAAGACCAGCCCTGAAGGGAGGAAACCCAAGGTGGGTGCAGGTGTGGGAACCACCTGAGGACGCACGTCACCAAGGAGGCCTGACTTGGTTAGTAGTGCCACATACTATTGAGCTGCAACCTGAAATAAGGAGAAGTACCCCTTGGATGTAACAGTGGTACATTCATTGCAATCCTTGGCAAAGAGAGATTCAGTAGAATAGTGGTGACAGGAGCCAGCCAGATTGCCTGGGGTTGAAGGATAAACAGGAAGTGAGGATGTGGAGATAGGGAGTGCAGATAGCTATTTAAAGAAGTTTAACTCAAGAGAGGAGGAAGGAGATAGCAAAGTAGTGATGGGGATGTGGGACTGAAGAAAGAATGTTTATAAGGTGGGAGAGAGTTGAGCATGTTTTCATGTTTTATGGTCCATGTAGGGGATAGTTGATAGTGAGTGACTAACGGAGGTCATCTCTCTGTGCCATCCCTCCTATCTCCCTCTCTAGCGGGCCCGATGAGCTGTCTTCAACAAGTTGTATCATTGCTTTGGGGAAACAGAGGAATGGGGTCTGTGAAATGTATTATGAGTTAAATCCTGATGATTTGGATAAGGCTGAGGTGATGATGGTGATATAATATAAAATTCTAGAAATCAGAGCTTTCTTTAAAACATGGGGGTGTATTGTGAAAATTACAGGTAATACATACATAAAGGTATAATATGGTGGCAAGAGATTCTCCATCTGGGTGATATGCAGTGATGGCTGTAGCTTCTAATCCTTGCTTCTTACTATAGTGACAGTTCTGCAATCCAAGAATAATCATAAGAATACATACCACATACTGATTGCCTACTGAGTGCTGGGCATAAAGTATATATTATTTTTATATTCTTCCAAGAACCCTATAAGGTAGATATTACTTTCAGCTTACAGATAAGTAACGGCTCAGAGAGAATAAATAAATTTCTACAATCAAAGAGCTAGTAAGCGGCTGAACTAACAGTAGAACTCAGGCTTGTCTATTTCAGAGTGTGAGAGCTTTGCTCTGAGCAACATGCTATATCATTCAGGAATAGCTAATTAAAAATAGGTTTTGCTCCACACTGCTCATAGTCATGTGTTGCTATGCAACTACAATATCTTCTCTTTAAGACAATAGTGAACACAACATAGGGAAAAATTGGTACTTGTGCATCAGACAGAGTTGGAGGAAAAGCAGATCCAGGGATCTAGAGATTCATGGGAGAAAAACAATGATCTCCAGTCCCACATTCCTTCCGCTTGCCCACTTGTTCATGCACCTCCTTTCTTCACTCCATGAATACTACTTTCAAGTTTACAGACAGAGATGTTTTGTCCCCATAGAGCTAAAAGGAATTACACAATTAAATACTTACTTGCAATTATGACAAACATGACAAAGGGGAGTTTGGAGGATGAGGAGGGAGGGAAGATAAAAAGAAGGATAAAACTCAGTTTAGAAGTCAATTATCACTTTCTTGAAGAAGTGATAATTGAGCCTTGAAAAAGGCTTTGAAACATGAGTAGGAATGAACCAATCGAATGGGGCACGAGGCGGAGTCTTGTTCCGGGCGGGCGGAGGGCATTGCAACAAAGGGCTGGTCCAGGAACCATTCTCCCCCTTGTCAGGTAATGACACTATGATTTATCCTTGGGGAACCAGCCTTCAAACCATGAGGCTCAGGGAAAGATAGTCTACCTTTAGCGCTAAGGGTGTGCACATGTTACACCAACTTTGGCCAATAACCTCTGCTTCTTTCCACAGGAATTGTTTGTTAAGCAAGAAACACAGCCAAAGCCAGGCAAATCAGAACCAAAAAGGCCAGCTCGGGGCCTTTTGCTGGTGGTATTGGGGAAACTTATTTTCTTTCTGCTGTGCTCGCTGGCTCTATGGCATGGAAACCTAAAGCTGTGGCAATCAGAGGGGGAAAGCTCGGTTCTTTGGTCAACGTGAGAAATGTCCAAACCTGCAGAGAGGTTTTATGAGTACGTGTAAGCCAAACTGACATCACATGCACAATCTCAGATGCTCTGGAGAATAACATGTTTGCAGCTTCTTTTATGCATTTGAAATTAAGGAGGGACTGTAAGGAAAATTGGAGAAAGCAAGGCAGGGATTGGATTGCAGGATGGTTAACAAGATTATGTGCCCTCTTGAGGGTTAATACCCTCTTCAGGGGTATTACTCCTGGCATTTCAAAGGTGTGATAACCTGGATGCACAGAAACAATGGGCAGGGCCGGCTTAACACCTTTCACTAAAGAAGTTATAGGCCGGAAGCATGACTACCCGCCATGACCTGCCCAGTTAAGAATTTAGGATCTGATCACCCTGTGAGGTGACTTTCCACAGAACTCCTTTTTTCATCTATGCTTTCAAAGGAAGTGTCTCTCCTCCAGTGGCCAACACAGAGAGAAGTGGGGCTGAAAGAGGAAGAGAGGAATCCAATGGACGTCATTGAGCAGATCTACTCCACGGATTTACAGTGTTGTGAACCAGTAAATTCCTCTTTCCAAGCAAGCCTGTTTGAGGTATACTTTAATCATTTAGATCTGATTGATTGATTGATTGATTGATTGATTTTAAATGGTACAAGGACTGAAGTGTGGTAAGTAACAGACATCAAAGTGTGCAATAGCTGAATCCTGGTAGGGAAGGGTAAATGAGGACCCCTCTTTTTTTTTTTTAAAGATTTTTATTGGGGAATTGGGGGGATGGGAACAGTGCTGGGGGATTGGGGAAGGGGAACAGACAAGTTGCTGTCGTTTTTGTTCTTCAATCTAGTTGTGCAGGACGTTGCTTCACTTGCCCAAGTTGGCACCATCATTGCGCTCTTCCCTGGAGAGGCAGATCAGTCACCGGCTTCTGGACGGCTGCTCACTGCGGCTGCTGGCCGCTCACTGCGGCTGCTGGCCGCTCACGCTGGCTGCTGGCTACACACGGTAGCCCATGGCAACTCACTGCCACAGGGACTGCAGCCTATGCCGTCGCCAGCGACTCATGGCAGCCCAGCTCCAGGTTGAGCTGTTGTTCAGCATCTTAGCTGTGGAGGGCAGTGTTCACTGGCCCTCATATGTGGGATCCGAACCGGGGCCCTCTGGCATCCCAAGCGAGTTCTTAACCATCGCGCCACTCGGCCGGCCCAAGGACCCCTCTTTTTTTAGCTGAGAAGTTAACACAACAGTTGATTAGCTTGCTATCTGTGGTATCAAAGCATGGTCCTACCAAGACTGGAGAGTAGAGGATGTGTTTGAAAAAACATCAGGAATGTATTGATTCCTTCTTGTGGGGTGTAGTGAGCTCTTTTATGAAAGAGACAAGCTGCAGGTAAACCTGGTTCCTTGGGAATCGGGAAATATTCAGCAGCCCTTTAGCTCTTATCCTGAAATCCAGAGCAGCAGAAGGTCACACGTATTTTCACTGTTTGAAGTTTGACAAGTCAATCCTTCTGCTCCAATCTAAATTTAGTGCTAACGAAGGTGGGGAATCAAATTGGAAAATAAGATTGAAACCAGGAACTCCAACCACCGAGTCACAGAACATCAAGGTGGATTGTTAGAAGAAAGAAACAACCCCTTTGGCATCTAGATTCAAGGATTAGGCATCAATACTAACTGGTTTTTGCTGCTAATTCACTGAATTTACTGGAAACAGACTGTACAGTTTACAAAGTTTTTAAGGAACTTGGGTTTCCAGAGAAACTCTAACACCCATAACCTCAGGGCTGCGATTGCCCAAGTCCCAAGGCAATACTCAGTCAGGACCTAAAACCCACACTAACAGAAACAGTGTGATAACCAGAAAGTGAATACTCCCCAGAGCCTTTCTCAGCTGTGGCCATACAGCACAAATTATAAGGGAAAGCATCCCAGGAGATAGACCCAAGAGCAGACAGAAAGGCTACCCAAAAAACTCACCCCAAAGCCAAGCCAAGATACCCCTCTGCTCCTGTCCAGCAGTTTATTGTATGTCACCCCGCCTCCTAGTTCCCCTTTCTCAAGTAGAAGTTTTCATGGTAATTAATTTGTTTCCTCCTCACAAATGTCTATTATGTTTGTTGGAGATAGTTAAAAGTATCATTTTCCAGTAAGTTTATGAACCATGAGTAATGTACATTAACAAGAGAGTCTGGACTCAGGCTGAATGCGGTAATTGGATAAAACTTGAGTGCTGCTGGTACATATGTTTTTTATTCAATATGATATTATTGCTTAATGTAGCCTTGGAGAATTTTATATTTTCAGGTATAAGAAAAAGATATGTGGACGTTGTGCAGCCAAGAGGTGAATTGTAATAAATACATGTGATCCGGCCTATCTAGAATCCATTTCTCCTAGGCCCGCTCCCTGATTTTCCACAGGAAAATTCCAACTTTTCCTTTATTCTCATAATATACTCTTCCCCCCACTTTCACTACATGTGACTAGGTGAATCTGACTTCGCTCTCAGCTTCAGAAGGTCGACACCCACACAGACCTGGGCAATCAGAACACTGCACACCTCTGACTAGAGTGATTGATTCTGGACACCGAAACCACATGCTCATATCAAGGCCAGTCAACTCAAAAGCGATGGGACAGTTCTGGGACTGGGGAAGGGGCCTGTTCTGTCTGTTGGGATTGCTGCAAATATGGAATATAAGCTTGGAGTTCCTAGCCCCTGTCATAAATGAAGAACCTATTTGACAATAGAGGTAAAATAGACAAAATGAGAGCAGAGAGATATGGAGAATGGACACAGTCCTGTCGAAATCACTGGAGCCACGTCATCTAGCTGAACCTAAAGATAATCTATCCCTGAAATTTTTAATTATGTGAGTCGATACCCCCTCACTTTCCCACTATTTTTGGTGGGGGTGGGGTGGAATCTAGTTTATGTTGGGTTTATTACCTTCCAATTGAGAGTCTTTAACCCAAGAATAACTGGAAAGTCATGAAATGCATTTAATCAGGGGAGGGATGTGATCAGATTTGAGAGTTTTGAAGGGCGGGTTTTGATTGAGTATCTTTTCTTGAACACCACTCAAACCTTTCCCTTTTCATTCCTGAAAAGTAATGAAGAAGAGTCAGGTGACTGGTTGTACCTATATTTGTACCCAGTGTTTGTAGTGAGACCAAATGTAACTGTGATTAGGGGTCATCACTGGGGACAAGGTAGATGGCTATTATATACACATCATTTTATTTACTCTTCTTTAGTGTCTAGTATTGAATTTCACTTTGCAAATTCTATCCATGCATGCTTTTTTGAGCATTTACTGAGCCAGTTAGCATTTCATTGAAGAAATGACTAAATTTCTGGCTCTTTCTCTAACTGTGAATGAAAATTTGAGAAGACGTTTGGTCAAATTCCTTTTTTCTTTTCCAAGATAGGAATATAGTAAGCATTTTTCCAGAAAAGATGGACTAGGCCCATGATTGTAATAATTATCTATGGCAAGATTAAAAATAGTTTATTAGCATTGATTATGTCACATGTGCATACATTAAGATTAAGAAGAAAGGTTGGGAATTTTCTAATGGGATCAGAAGTGTTCTGGCTGTCTTCTGATTACCATATAAACTAAGGTGGGTTTTTGTTTGTTTGTTTAAATTATTTTAATTTTAGCCAGTGGGTAAAAGTAAAGTATACAACTTGTAGATCACATTTTTAAAGAAATTTTATTGCCCTCTACTTCATCTCTTTCCCCAGTGTGGGCTGGGTTGTGTACATGATGTTATGAGCCAGTGTTGACCGTGGGCCACACAGATGAGGCCAACCAACAGCTCAGAGGAGGCAGAGCAACAAGGTAGAGGTGACTTGGATCCATAAATGACCTCCTGGAATGGAGTCACCTACCTACCCAGGACAATAAAAGAGAAATAAATAAACTCTGTTTTTATCTAAAGCATTGTATTTTGGTGGCTCTTCATTGTATTATTATCAGTTTATCATGTAACTTAACTACATATCCATGAAATACAATGGATTATTATTTCCAAATAATCAGGTGTGTGTGTGTGTGTGTGTGTGTGTGTGTGTGTGTGTGTGTGTGTGTATAGCAGATTAGGTGACCAAAAACTTTAAAAAAAAAACCCAACTTTTCCTTTATTCTCATAATATGGAGGGAACATCTTCTAAAGCAGTTGTCAGACTTTAGGATGCATAAGAATTCCCTGAGCACCTTATTTAAAAAGACAAATTTAATTCTATCTAAGATACACACAGAACTTGAAACATTTATTTATGCGCGTTCTAAAACTGGTCTTGAAATATGCTAAAATTATAAATAATGATTGAATTGTAGGAAGTGACTGAGAATTTAAGATTTATATCAGAAAGATATAAAGCAAGTGATAGAATTTTTGCTGCAATATTCAGTTCTGTATGGAAGAGCTAGAACTGCTATACTTTAAGGAAACATAAATTTAAGGATTGAATGACCTTAGTTCTTGTTTCTTTGGTGTTTTCATAACTTTCTGAAGCAGAGAGAGGTGAGGACACAGATATAAAAAAGGAGGGAAGCGCTAACCTTGGCCTCCTCTCGTTTCAAATCCTCAAGTCGAAAACAGATTTAAGAAAATAGCTTTATCTGCTCATGCCTTGGAGGAAAACAAGAGCCAAACTGGGGAGAGGGGGGGAACCCCAAACTGGACACTTTTAAACACTTTCCTTCACTGTTGTTGAAATATGTGTCTTCTGCCTTTGATATATATTAGCTGTGAAGAAAAGAGGGCCTATTTTTAAGCTGAGGACTTATTCCACTTTCTCAGAAGGCAAGCAAAATATAAAAATGAGGAGAATTATGACCTAACACAAATTTTCCTTCAAGGTAACTATGTTCATTTTGACTGAGAGAAGCAGCTGACGCAGCGAGGCCTAGCGGCAGCAGGGACGCAGATTCCTCTTCCAGACACGTGGCTTTAAATGACTCTTCACTCAAAGGAGGAAACAAGTTGGGCTTCACATTCACGCAACTCAAAAACTAAGAGGTGAAACTTTTCACACATTAATTTGTTCATTGGGTTTTCCAAATAGTTAGTTTGCTTTTAATGAACATTAAAAAAAAAAAAAGTTCTTCCTTGGCGTTTTCATTCCAAAGGAAAGAATGCGCTGTACTCTATGATATTCACATTATTACTGGTGATAAACCCTTGTCCCCAAGAATTTGTAAAAACAGATTTCTTGAACTTGAAGTCTTATTTTGTATAAATATAAATTAAAAAAAATTCACTATCAACCAACAATATCAAATTTCTTGACAACCTTGTATGCATCTGAAGTTGGCTAAAATTTACCTACATTCTATTGCAAAGCAAAGATTGAAAATTAGGTATTTACACAAAGATATTCACAGTGTCACACCATCATGAGGAATAATTGTGTAACATAATGCCAATAATATATTATGCTTCTTATTGAAGACTTTTAGGAAAGATTAGTTTGAAAAAAGTCAGCCAGATTTTTTAATGGCTGACTGTATGATTTTAAAATAAATGCTACTGAGAAAATTTTTTACTTTCAAAGTAAGTAGCATTTTTCCCCATTCAGTGTTACTATCACCTTCTAGTTGTGAAATCTCATATCATTACAAAATTTTAAAACATTTTGATGTTATAATACCTGCTTTAGTCTTCCTGTATCAAGATTTTATATATATATATATATATATATATACATATATATAGCAACAATTTGAAATATATATATATATATATATTTCAATTTGTTACTTGCCTTTCATTCTACAATGCTTCTGAGTCTTAAAATTTTCTTTTTTATAACAATATTTCTTCCCCCTCTATAATTCTCAATACATTTTACTGAGGAAGAGTAACCTAAAAATGTATATCACTGAATTTTGTAGGATAAATTTTGTTTAATGATTGACTAAGAGATATGTGCATTAACAATTTTGAGAGTATCTTGGGTAATTCATTGGACGCATTCCCAGAAAACAAAATACTCTTCCTGAGACTATTTATTTAAAAAATTCATCTCTTAACATCCCTTTGAGCAGAAGCAGAAAATGGTAAGCATGAAGCCAAATTTACTGTTTGACAGTGTTTGTTATTTAAAACCAGGCTTCTGTGGCCAATTCTTAGTGGCCGAGGTTTGGGCTAACCCTCTTGTGGTTTTACAAGTCATTGTCCTTAAAATCTGAGTTTCTTCAAATGAATTCACACATGCATCAGCGAAGGTAACCTCTCAACTCCCTGTTCTGTTTTAACCAATATCTAAGTGTAAGTTTAGCCACAAGAAAATTGGCTGCATCAATGGTGTCATGGTGCTAGGGACACCTGCTGACTATTTTAAAAACATAAAGGGTATTGGCTGGCATCAGTGAGACAAATGGAGTTGAGCTTTGAAAACTGATTTTGTAAGTTTTTTTGTTTTTATTATGCCTCCTGGAATTTCTTTGAAATACATTTTGCAATAGTATGGTTACTGCCATATTGTTCTCTGAAAAAATATAAGCACTTTATTTTTTAGAGAGAGGAGGAAATGTTCTTCTCGTGTTAGATTGAGGTCAATTTATGAAGCCCCAGTACTTTTCATTTCAGCATAGACTGTTCCATCTGTCCCATGAACAACTTCTTTGGCCAGGAGAACATGCACAAAAGCAAATATTTTATTGAAATTTCTGGATTTCTCTAGAGAAGAATATATAATTGAAGTTTCTGTTTCATAAAAATTTGAAATTATGATCACAGTTTGTGATAAAAGAGACATCCATTTCCATAGGTCCAAAGAGTGTTCAGAAACCATCCACAAACAACTAACATAGAGATTACACTATATAATTGGATAAACTTCTTTTCTTCCATAAAGGGGCACAGAGTAAGTTTTCTTATTAAAAACTTGTGCCAAAGATTTTTGATTTTTTTTCCTCCAAATATATATACTTGGGGAGATTTTATATATATATGATTTACCACTTAGAAAGCTATTTATATATAATTTCCTTCTTGGAACTTATTAACAGTCCCTCTCAATCAAGACAAATCTTAGAAATCAATATAAACCTAATAAAGTCAATATCTATGTTACATAAGTGAAATTTTTTTCCGCTCATGCTTCTGAAAGAAGATATTTTGATCCATAAAATGTCAGTCCTATCAGGCTTTCAGAACTGTTATTCTTGCTAGGATACTGTGTACAGAAGTTCTGGAACATGGGGAAATACTGACATTTAAAGTTTCTAGATTGTTTCAACTTTAAAAACATAGCAACTTTTCTATCATGCTAATTTTTTATTAAGCAATAGTTATTGAATTCAGAAGGTATAACCCTGTTAGTCACCTTTATAATTATTGGGTTGTCGGAAAATTCATGATGTATTTTTTCTATGTTTTTCATTGCAAAAATGCGCCATGACTTTTCTGACTATGAATACAGTAAGCGATTTTTAGCTTATCAAATTTGAATTAATTCTTCTGCTTGTTAGTGTACTTTTTAGGTATAACACTCTATCATTTGAGAGGTACATATTCAGAATCCATTATTCCTGAAATATTACTTCCAGAAACATGGCCCTTAAACCTTTTAGAAGAATCCCAATAAAAGAGCTATGAGTCAGAAAGGGTCTCTGTAGAAAACAGAGAGCATACTCAAATAAGGATAATTTGAGAAGGGTTTAATAAAGAGATATTACAGATGTTTGAAGAAGATTTATGGAAATCCCAAAAGAGAGCACTATTATCATCCTTAAGTTTGAAGGGGCAAGATGAAGGAATGGCGACCAGAACCCAGAAAGAAGCAATGTGTGGAGTAGGACAACTTGAGAAAAGTTATGTGTAGAGGGCAAAGTCTGAGGTGACCCCATAGAGAAGGAGTCAAGGAATAAATAGCCCAAATTTACACTTCGTTCTCTGTGTGAGCCAAGGCCAGGCCTTCCTATGGGTTAAGCGGAACTGCTTAATATGGTAGCCTGATCACAGATGGCTACTGAGCATTTGGAATGTGGTTGTAAGTGTGAAACACACACCGAAATTTGAAAACTTACTATTAAAAATGTAAACTATCACATTACTATATGTTCAAGGCACATATTATTAAATATTAACATTATTAAATATATATTTATCCATACATATAATTTGTTATAAGTAGATAATATAGAAGATACATTGTTAATACTAATTTTACCTGTTTCCTTTTAAGTTTTAAAGTGTGTGACTACACCCAAAGCAATATACAGATTTAATGCAATCCTCATCAAAATCCCAATGGCATTTTTTTCAAGAAAAAGAACAAAAAGATCATCAGGTTTGTATGGCATCACAAAAGATCTCAAATAGCCAAAGCAATCCTAGAAAAAAGAACAAGACTTGAGGCATCACACTCCCTGACTTCAATTTGTACTATAAAGCAACAATAAACACAACAGCATGGTATTGGCAGAAAACAGACACAAAGACCAATGGAATAGAACTGAAAACCCAGAAATAAACACACATATACATGGGCAGATAATTTTCAACAAAGGAGCCGAAAACATATGAGTACAATGGAGAAAAGAAAGCCTCTTCACTAAATGGTACTGGGAAAATTGGAAAGCAATGTGCAAAAGAATGAAACTAGACTGCTATCTGTCACCATATACCAAAATTAACTTAAAATGGATCAAAGACCTAAACATAAGACCTGGAACAATAAATTGCATATAGGAAAGCATAGGTACTAAATTTATGGACCTTGGGCTTAGAGAGGATTTTATGAATTTGACCTCAAAGACATGGGAAGTAAAAGCAAAAATAAATGAATGGGACTATATCAAACTAAAAAGTTTCTGCACAGCAAAAGAAACCACTGGTAAAACAAAGAGGCAACCAACCAAATGGGAGAAGATATTCGCAAACAATACCTCCG